TACTCACAGGTCAACACCCGACTTTTATATACTTGGCGTCGCACCGCTACCGCATCGCTTGATATTAACGATATTTAGTTACGTTCCGTTTTAACGCTTACGCATTGTGAGTATAATTATCCTTGTTTAACGTTGTAAGCGCCAAAAACGTGATTACAAAACGCAGTCTGTAACTTTCAAATCTTATAATTCAAAAAGTACTTTATGAAAAATAACTTCATCATATAATGTTTTGAAAAGCTCTCGATGTCAGCTACAAGAATATGTAACAAAAAATAGGGGTTTCCATTTAAGATTTCTATGTTGACCTTAATTGAGCTTTTCAAGGTTAACCAAAGCTCAAACGTAAACTATCACCAGCTAATAGATTTTTTAAACTCTACAATTTTTATTTGAAACATTTTTTCATACAATTAATATTTTCTGAACTAATTAGCCGTTCCTGGAACTTTTACCCCTCAATGTATAATAGTTTACATATAAATATTTTAATATATGTTTTTTATTATGTATCTAATTACTATAAATTTGTAAATATTTTACTACAAATTTGTATCTCATTACAAATATATAAATAAATTATAAAACGAATTAACGTATTTATCTTTTCATATAGAGGCACGTAAGATATATAAAATATCGAATTGAATTCGCTGGTAGCGAAACAGTTAATACGCTTAGGGAGCGGTGTCGAGAAAGAATCAACGTGATACCTGGTAATCGCATATAAAACACTCCCATTATCATCAATAGTCGATTACGACACGATGATTATTTATTCTTGGGATAAATACAAACTATGGGTTAGAAGCTGGATTATAGTAGTACACAGAAAAAAAGAGACAAGTTAGTATTATGTTGAGTAACTTCACCTAGAAATACAAACATAGATATATAAAATATAAAAGTGTATATATACTAACACTAAAATGAGAACACACATATTATATGTAATATTAGATTATCAAAATAAAAAATACTACAATGTCAATCAATACGCCAAAACTAAATGCACTTATAAATAATTTATGATTCAATTTATGAACTGCCCTCGATCGATTCACGCAAATTCAATTTTGCTGCAAAATCATATAAAGATTATTTTCTTGGAATGATCCTTCAAAAGCGCTTTGTTATATTTTAAGCAGCATTTTAACTAACATTCCGACTGATAAATAATGTTGTGATTTTTTTCAATAAAAAAGATATATAATCAGAAAAATATATCAGATTAATGACTATTCGAATTAGAAATAAATTTTAAACGTGTTTTCAAAGTACATTTTAAAAAATATATTGGAATTATTAACAATCTATTGTAATTGTAAATATGCCATTCTTTTTATTGTGTCACTTTTTAATAATATATAATTATCTTTAATGATAAAATTATTATAAAAAAGATTCTGCATATTAATGTAATTCGTTATCATTAAATCAAATGTTCATATACATATTATTGCAAAAACATAATTGTTAATGATTAATGTTATGTTTGACTCTTATTCCAAGAGCACACATAGCAAGATAAGCATAATACTGAATAACAATATTTTTATATTAATGTTTTAAAAGTAAATTAAATATATTATTTTATTAATAAAAATGCTTTAACAAATATTATTACAAAAAATTATACAATAGTAATGTACAATATTAAGTAATTCAAATTTTTATTTAATTACTATTTAGTCGCAATAAAACTTATAAAACACATAAATGTTTCAGAAAGTCAGCAAAATCGATTGCGATCTGCCGATTGAGCGCCTTATGAAATGGTCTAAAATAAAATAGTATATTTTCTTTTTAATCTCGATTAAGTTGTCATATTAATGTTTGTCTTTCTAATTTGTTCACCTATATGCGAGTTACTGAATCGATGCTGTAATATCGATTTAACAATACTTTTGCTCGTATGAAGGTAAATATTATATCTGACAAAAACTACAAGAATAGATGCATCAGTAAATGAATTAATACAAACAAAAGTCCGTTGAAAAATTTTAACGCTAAATACGAATTCAAATATAATTTAACGTTAAAGAATTCGACTCATGTCCAAAGCTTCAATTCTGAGTCTATACATATATGTATATTATAGTATATATTATTATTATTATTGTATGTAATATTATTGCGTTTCCTTTATATCCATCAGTACAAATATGCGTGTAAAAAGCCAGTATAAATGCATAATAAAGGCTTAATTAACTGAAAAAAATAGATTATTGATATCAATTTCATTACGATATAAAGAAAATTTTACAATACGAAGAGTGCAAAAACGTCGCGAATCATTTAATATCCTATAAAGAAAATTATGCTATCAAGTTTAAAGACAATTTAATAATTAAGAACCAGCTGCAACAACATAACTTAATTGGCTTATCTTCCTTTGTGCACTGTAATGTATTGTGTTAATAAATCTCATCAAATACTTAATTATGATACTAGAATAATAGAAATAATTTTAAAAAATTTTAATAATTTTCATCAATACAATTTAATCATTTATGTTGTAATCTTATATAAATAATATAAATAATTAAAGACATAAAATGACATATATTTACTGTAACTGTGTTATTATAAGTACGAGTAATAGCACAGTTACAGCAGCAAACTATGCTATTATAAGTGATTGTCCAATAATTAAGATAAATTAGAATTACTAACAAAATATATATTACCACAAATGATTACAGATAAATTATTATTAATAAAAAATCATAAATATATTTTCTAATAACAAAAGTAGATTGTATATTCATAAGATACAAGCGGGTTTCAGAATACTTAGTTTTCGAAATAATTGAAATCAAACACTTTTATATTGCACATCAAATAAAATAATTGGTTAAAAGAGGACTCAGTATCATTAATCTCAATTTTAAATTTTACATATGTTGTTATTAAAATTAATGCCTTAAATAAGATTTAATAGCACTTTATTTTATTTGTTAATAACTGCTTAGTAAATAATGAGCAACAATTTTTGAAAGTTATTCAAAATCGTGAGTAAAATAATATATGATATAATTAAAATTTCTTTCTGTTATTGAAACTGGATCCTCTTTCTCAGTTTTATTAAATAATATATTAACTAAATATTTTTCAAAGTAAAATGAACTATAGCAATTTCAAAATTTATAAAAATACACACTATATATATATATATATATATATATATATATATATTAAAACTCAGAATAAAAAATACATATAATAATACAAACAAATATGTTATACATATGTGTATGCGTGCGTGTGTGTGAGTATGTGTAAGTGTGTGTGAGTGTGTGTGAGTGTGTGTGAGTGTGTGTGAGTGCGTGTGAGTGTGCGTGTGCGTGTGTGTGTGTACATGTATATGTACATAAATATCTATAAATATAAATCATAAATTTATCATTAACGAATACAAAGAGATATAAACATAAAACTTATACAATAATAATATATCACACAATACATTTGTCAGTAATGATAATTTGATATAGCGAATTGTTTATTTGATTTATCATCAGTTAACTGATATCGTTGACGCAGCCCAAATAATGAAAAACAATAACATTGTGTACAAGTGCTAAATATACATATACATATATAATTTCATTTTTTTTAATTTCTTTTAGATAGAAAATACATTGAGTAGAATTCAGTCATGAAAATGAACCAGATAGCAATACAAAAACACAACAATAAATCTTTCGCGCCAAAAAGTGACTTTCCATTAAAGATCAACATTTAAATAGTCACCAACGAAACTAGTGATATTTCCAATGTATTTTTAATCATTAATAAACTTTTCGCCATTCATTGCAAAAATATTTAGAAAATAATTTAATTCTAATAATTTAAAGTAATCAATACCGAATGTTGTGTCTTTGTTTTGACAATTTAAGACTCAAATTCAAAACAATTTTCTCATGATTAATCGTAACAGGATATCCCTCATATGACAATTGGATATTAGCTTTTTCAATATACAGGGTTTGGTAGAATAATTTGCTTTTAAAATAAACTGTAGTTTGACGTTGATGAAGAAATCACAATGACTTCAACAGCGCACACAACGCCATTTTAATAACTAGGAAGCAATGGAAAAATAATTATAGAAACTTGATGGTTTTTTTTTAATTAATACCATACAGACAAATTCTGCATATTAACAAATTTCATTTTGTAAATATGAGAAGTATTCACATTATTTTCAAAACTAAATGTCAGTTAATTATATGTTTATAAATTGTATTATTTTATACTAAAAAATTTTATAATGTCGTGTATATTATCGAATGCCATTGAGCACATAATCCATTACCGTCAACCAAATTACAATCATCTTAAAAGCAAATTCCTTGTCAAATCTTGTACTTTAACATCTAATGATATTTTAATATCTGTTTTTTCTTAACAAATTTTCTAATTTTCTAATTATAATTAAATATCAATTGGCAATTGAGCCATAAAATACATTTCTTCTTTAAATTATTGTTAAAATAAAAATTATTAAAATTATTTGAAAAAAAACAGTAGGTATCAAAATATGTAATTATTTATATGATTAAATATTAATAGTTTATACAACAACATTATATTATATTCTTTACTCTCTGCTTTCCAATATTCTTTATTTCTTCTCTTGCATTGTTTTTTTTATTTATGTGATTATATAAACCTCAGAGTGAGAAAGCAAATAATCAACATCAAGCAAAATATAAATTATAAAATAATGTGAATTAAAATTAAAACAATACAAAAAAAGTAATAAAGAATAAGAAAATAAAAATAAAAAGTTGAAAAACTCAGTTATACTTCAAAAATTTAAAAAAAAACTTATAACTCAAAATAATCATACTACTACTTCGTATTTTGACTGGGACATCCTGTCTAGATGTGTACACGATAGAGAAGATGATGCGCGACATTTCTTATGTGCACTATTTTCTATCACTGTATAGACGCACACAAGCAAATCGGTTTTTAAGCCACAGACTCACCCGTGCCGCAATGGAAGTAGTTGGTTTCTCCAGAAGATCCCATAACCATTTCTGATACTGGGCGCACTTTCCTTCACCGAATTCTTCTTCTTCACGCTGTCGAAGTGATTCTGCTTCCTTACGCATTTCCTCATGTACGTGCTCCTTGCGCTGGTGGTACTTGTGCTGACAACAACTTTCGAGATAAAGCTCATCAACACCCCAATATGCGAGGTCATCGCTAAACGCCAGCACGCACATCTCATCTACTAGATGGAGCTTGCCAGTGCGATAGAAATTAAGAATCGAACTAAATGATTTAGGATGTCGATCAAAAAAATATTCATTGTCGATTAGAGAGTAATCGTCGCAGAGTTCAGTTATTGCCTCATGAGTATTGCAATCCCTCAGCCGACCCAGGCGCGTATGTGGCAACCGCTCAAGAGTTCGCCAGAGTACTTCGTGCTTCACGCCACCAACATTAATAGAAACGCGCCGATTTAAAGCCTTTGAACGCATAATCATGAACGGCTCCGGCGGTAGGGACGTCATCGACTTCGAAAAGGCACGCTGCTGCTGCATCTGCAGCGGCAGGGGCGGTGGCGGTGGTGGCGGCGGCGGCGGTGGCGGCGGCGGTGGCGGTAGAGATTGCAGGTTTACTGGCGCCACAGTACTGATTAGACCTACAGATGACGCGAATGGAGCATAACGAACTTCCTTATTCATGTTTCCACCACTTCCTATACCTCCTCCTCCCATTCCTGTAATTCCTCCCGCAGCTGCTCCAGTATTAATTCCACCGAGTCCTATCCCACCACCTAACCCAGTTCCCGATCTTCCTATCGATGCGCTGAACCCGAGATCTCCTCCGCCACCGATGCAGTCGGTATTTCCGCGACCAGCTGCACCGAGCTGCTGCAACGTCGACATACCGCCACCTTCGAACACATAACCCTGGTCGGTGTCGATGTAGGGCACCGTGCACGACGGCGATGACGATGAGAGCGTCGGGTTGGTAACCACAGCGCTATCATTACGTTCCCCGTCCACCAGTGTGTTGTCCACCTCGAACCGTCTTTCGTTTAGCATTGGACGCTAAGTGACGGTAAATTCAAGTGATTGGCTACCGACGTGATTGCAAAACAATTATCCTTCGTGGTAACGATGTTCTTATTTGCTTGTTTGATATTGGATGAATTGCGTTTATCTTGTTTTCTTCTTCGTCCTCCTCTTCCTCGTCCACAGTGTTTCTTTTCAGCCTCATCCGTAAATCCGTCTGGCTTCTTTCGTCGATCCAGTTGATCGATTCAGCTGTGTCATTATCTGAAAAAGAAGATATTGAACACACATTTTATTATGTTATAAATAAGAAGTAAATTAAACATTTATATTTTTAACTTCTACTATTCGTATAAAACTATCATCAAATTATGTACGATGTGTGATTCGCTATTCGTAGTGTATATTCTCAGTATACATGTATGAGAAACGAATTCGTTGACAACCGTCATTTGTGCTAATTTGCTAGCATTTTTTTTTAAATTAAAGAATACAATTTATCACAAAATCTACTTATGTTCATTTGTATATAAAATTATATCATGCAAATAATAAATGAATCGCGAAAAGTTTAAAAAATTCAGATTTAATATATTTATAAATTCCCAATTGACGCATTGTGGAAGAGCAGATGAGAAAAAAACGACAAGACATTTTAAAAAGTCAAAATAGAGCAATGCCAAAAAAAAGGACATAGGTTGGGCAAAAGGAACAAAGGTTTTTTTCAAATAAAAAGGAAATAATTGAAAAAAAGAAAGAAAGGAAAAGAAAAGTTAAATTACAGAAGAGCAATTCCAATGATTTTGACTTTGATGTATGTTGTTAAGATTATGACCTGACTTTTAGACAATTTTAGTCATCACTCGTTATTCATTATACAGGATGTCCGAAAAGTGTGGCAACTCCTTATTATTTCGGAAACAGCGTTTTTAAGAAAAATGTTTTAGAAAAAAATTGTAGGTCTTAAAAAAATATATTTAATGGTTCTTTTATCCGTTTGACCTTGAGTGGCGTTGCCAAGATCAGGTAAAGGTCACATTAATTTTTTAAATGGAACTTTATTTTCGATTCCCAAATCTAATAGCTGATGTCAAGAGCTTTCCAAAGCACTATAATAAAGGACGGAATATGCACAGATACGTACACGTGGTATTAATTATATCATTTAATGATGATTTATAATAGCCAAGATTGTAGAACTGCCACAAATGTAAGAACATATCTGCGTCGATAATTTCAATTTTAATTGTAATATAAATTTGTATGATGGCTGCTAATGGCTAAGTAAGCCGAAACGTTCCATCAATTCGTTAATTATTAAATTATCAGTTTTTATATTAATTAATCAATCAAAAAAGTTTTGCTCATTTATTGGCCTAACTCTTATCTATTTTATTATAATAAAGTGTTTTTTGGTTAAGTAAATCTCGAGTTATGAAACTTTAAAGTTATAGTACTGCCGGTATTATAACATTATCCAAGGTGTCCGAATAATAGCTAAAACTTTTTAATGTTGCTCAGGATCATGAGCATGACAACATATGTCAAGGTCATGACCATTGGGGGTTGTTCCTCTTTTTTTCAAAAAATAAAAATAATTTTGAAAAATAAAAATAAAAACAACAATCTTTACAAACTTCTTTATCTTGATTAATCTTGACCTTGATATATTGTTAAAGTCATGATCCTGAACAACATTCAAAAAGTTTTAGCCATTGTTCGGACATATTGAATAATGCTAATGCCGACGGTACAGTAACTTTCAGGCTTCATAACTCAAGATTTAGTAGTAGTAGTAGTTGGTATGCAGATCCTACGAGAGACCCAACGTCACCTAATTCTGTAAAGTACCATTGTAACTCCCCAGGGCTCACCCTGGATAGGCTCTAGGGGTTTGAGTCCCACTTTAGGGAGATAACCTCCGCAGCGAGCAAGGTGGCGAACACACTGGCTAGCCTACTTGCCCAACCTCGGTGATCCAGGCGCCTTGGTGAAGCACCAGACGCGAACGTCGTCCCGTCGGTCACTCATCTATATGAAGCACCAGTGTGGGTGAATGCAGTGGTGGCAAATAGACGCGTCTGCGCTCTCATAAGAAGGGGACAGCGTCGTATGGCCGCCAGGATCGTCCGTGTCTTTGACTATACATATAATAATGGACTGCCAGTTGCCTTTGTTTCACATGACTTTGTATGTAAGGCAAGAAAAAAAGAGAGAGATGGATGTTGAACTGTTTTCTCACGTTTAGTACAGTGCAGTATCAAATTGTAGTTAAAAAATATGTATGTATAAATATACAATAATGAAATAAGGACAATAATTGTTTAAACATATAGATATGTATATACAGGGTGTCCGGTAATAACCGCCCAAAATCTCGTGGGCTGGTAGAGCAGATTAAACTGAATCGGAAAGTCTTCTACCATTTTGCAAAATTCACAATCGTTAACGAGATATTAATTTTTGAAGATTGGCAAATAAGCGCGTATCCGTCCGGCCCACCGCTGAATATCAGTATCGGGCCAGTCGTATCTCGCCGCGCTGCTAGGCGCGTGGGGATAGAGTCTAGCAACGAGATATGACCGTCCCACCGCTGGTATTCAGCGGTGGGCCGGACGAATACGCGCTTATTTGCCAATTATCAAAAATTAATATCTCGTTAACAATTGCGAATTTTGCAAAATGGTAGAGGACTTTTCGATCCAGTTTAATCTACTCTATCAGCCCACGAGATTTTGGACGGTTATTACCGGACACCCTGTATATTGTTGCGCTCATGCTTCGAGCATCGTGGATTTTAAACCGTCCGCTGACATTGGTTACGAGAGAGAGAGAGAGAAAGAGAGAGTAATGAATATTCCCGTCGACGAGTCGTTGCTACGGGAATCAATAACAGGAAAATTGAAGTTATCGCGGGGCTGTCAAACCGTTTAGACGTGCTCCCGGTGCATTTACGATTTAATCTGTTCTTCCTATAAAGTTGTGTTCACATTAAAATTCTTTATTTTAAAACAAACGTGTGTTGCGTTTCCTTACGGACGCGTGTCTCGTGTGTCAAGTCGGAGTGCGCGTACTAACGTCTGCGAGCGCAACAATATTATGCAATAAAATAAAATATAATATAAGATATACACATAAAAAATATAACATCAATATAAAAAAATATAAATAAAATATAAAATAAATGATACGCATATATTATGTAAGTATTATATATATATTATTGCCCACTGAAAGTTATGGCTTATATTATCGGCACATAGTTTTTTTCAACCGACCACATGATAAACCCGTTTTTTCGATACTTAACTTGTTGCAAAATGGAGACTGCATACTTTAATACATTTTTTATTTTTGCCATATGTTTTTCACTGTGATCAGCAGCAAAGAATGCTTTTATCCAGTGCTTTTTAATTACTGGGTTTGATGGAATTCTATTCAATACTAGTCATATTTATAAATTAAAATTTTTTTTACAGTGTAACATTTGCATATCAAGAACAGTTTAATATCTCATGAAATAATGTTTAATAATTATAAAATTTAAATTAGAATTAAGACTTAAGAATATAATTAAAAATTTGATTAGATTGAACTAGTGAACAGATTTGCTGACACGTAATTTAATAATTATCATCGATGTACAGGGATTCGCCGCTTAGCTACTGGGGGCGCGCGTGATGTTCATTACAGCGTGAGAAGGGCAACTGCAAGCAGTCCGTTATTATATAGTCAAAGGGCTCGAGTAAAATACCGTTTTAGCTGATAGGCGGCACACGCGGTACAACGCGCGTATCGAATCCGCACAGCTCTGGGTTCTTTCCCGATAGTTCAGGGTAGTCTTTTGAAGATTTTCCCTACGTAAAAAAAAGTAAGGTTTTTTTAGGATAAGGCCCCTCCAGGCGGTACGCGGGGATCCTTGCGACAATCAACTGACTATTACACGCGATTACATTCTCTCTCGCTCTCTCACACTCACTCACACACACACACACACGCACGCACACACACACACACACACACACACACACACACACACACACATGCACGCACGCACGCACGCACGCACGCACGCACGCACGCACGCACGCACGCACGCACGCACGCACGTCACGCACGCACGCACGCACGCACGCACGCACGCACGCACGCACGCACGCACGCACGCACACACACACACACACACACAAAGTTACCTCATAAATATTAGATGACTCCTGTAGTTTTTTGAGAAGGCGGATGAATTTCTATTTTGATGGACTACGTACAGCTCCAAATAATTTTGTTTTAATAAATTTTTTTAATTCAGACGTCACACGTTATCTGACTGACATGGATCAAATAATTATATTATAATTAATTAATTTTTTTTAAAACGTGTCACTTCAACATTTCACACTCGATTTACATGCTGTTTACTTAAAGAACTCACGAGAAATCTATATTAATGTATCTATCCGTCAAGTGCTTTGTAATCACTGTCGATTAATTATTCATCGAATAAAAAATCACTCGAAGAAAGAAACACGCGCACAATTTACTAACGACGATTTATTGACACATGAGACGTTCATTTAGCGATAACAATCAGTCAACTGACTTTAATACCGAATTTATTAGTTCATGATTATCATTGTCAATTAATTATTTGTCGACAGAAAAATTATTCAAAAAAAGAAACACGCGCACAATTTACTAACACACGACACGACGGCTTACTGATACACGTACAAGGCGTTTACTCGACGACAAGCAGTTGACTGATTTTATTAGTTATATTTGCAGCGTTGTTGAAACGGGAACATGTGATTAGTTGAAATCTCACAATCAAAGCGTCACCAGCGCTACAAACATAACCAATAAGTTATAATTCCGATCAGTTATAATTCCTATCATCGAGTGAACGCGTCGTGTATTAGTAAATTGTCGCGTGTTTTTTTTCTCGAGTAATTTTTCAGTCGACAAATAATTAATCGACATTAATAATCATTGTCGCACGCTTAGTCCGCGACCTATACCTTATATTTCACCTAAACACGATAGATCATGACGGTGTAAACAGTTGTGTAGCGACCCAATCTGCCTTGGGTCGGATCTCTTTTTCACGATCCTTGGCCCATTTTGGGTCGCATAACATAGCGCGTGTAAACGTAGGTAGACTAAAAGGGCTATGTATAACTCAATAGATGACGCCAGATGACGCTCACATGCGAATGTATGAGGACTAAATTAGGTCCGATTTGGTCCAAAAGTGTCATAGGTCTCCATGGTGTAAACGTTCAATTGAAGGCCTACTTAAGGTATAGGTGAAGGTGTAGGTCGGGTCGCACGGTATAAAAGTGGCCATTAATAACTTCAGTATTAAGATGCTGGAAGGTCAGAAAAATTTGCACGAAGTCGATAAAGTAGACTTTTCAATGTCAGTGGTATGTACCTCTAAATGAATTTTTTACAATATCTTCTGGTCTCACTCAAATACGTGGAAAGTCCTTATGTAACTAATTAAAGTGCCATCTCTTGAAAAATCCGACACTTACTGTCAGACGCAATTTTTGCTGTCTTTACTTTAACCGAGCGTACGAATTACCACAAATTGCATTCTAATGAACAACTTTCTTTCTATGCTTCCAATCGTAGCTCAAAACTTCTTGTATTATTCGTGCAAGTAATCCAATGCGCTAGGTATTTTTAATTTTGTACATATGAGCTGCAGAACTTTTATATCAATAAAATGTTTACGTCAGGCGACAGGTTATGATATCCCAAAAAAGGTAATTTTTGAATATTTTTTCGTTTTTACTATTCATATATACCTAGCACGATGACATTTTTTGTCCATTTTAATCCTGTAAAAGCGTTTTTAAATCCGTTCAGTCATTTCGGAGTTATCCATTAGAATGCAAATGTCGGTATTCCATGGCATCGCCTTAAGTATGTAGATTAGAACGATGCCGAGAACTGTAGCGATTATTGTTCCCGCTATCCACGGAATATACCGTAATATTGTACCGAAACTGCCAATCATGTCTCGTCCGGTGTCCTCTACGGTATCAAATATTTTGCCGACGGTGCTCGTGATAATTTCGAGCAATGCGTCGAGAGTGTCCATCTTTTCGCATTTTACAATTGCGGCAGATTTTATCGATCGACATAATTCACGCTACTCTCATCCGTCTCCGACATATCGCAATGAACGCAGTACAACGCAGTGTTTACTGCCGTTGTGCAGTTCAATGCATTCACGTGCATTTCCGGCCCCAATAAAGATTCTTTGCAGGGTACGATATTGTTGTATCGGTGTTGTTTGAATTTCAAAAGGACAGGAACATCCGACCACGCGACATTTTTTCATCGCGCCATCGCTCTTCGTGTACATAAAACAGCCGGTATGAAGTTTGGCATTTTTTCCCACGGCTTTGCACAGAGTAAAGAGTCTCGCGCCAACGGTTACCGCCCCTCCGAGATACAATAGCCTCTTTGTGCGGGCACTCTTCGCCATGATACGAGTTACCGCCTCCGTCAGCTCGGTGTTACTCTCGATCAATCATTTTTTCATGACCTCAGTATATTTTGTATACATCGCTTATCTATAGTTATTTTTAAATACAAATATTTTGAAACATGCTTCAAATACGTATAAATATGTAGGAAAAAACCCCGTCCCAAAATAACTTTATACTTTCTTTTAAAAAAATTCACAACAATAGCAAAAAAATTTGGCCCCAAGACTAGAATACCCCCTTAATTTCTAAGTTGGATACATTAGATACATATATGTATATATGTATCAAGAGACACGGTAGTGTCTCACGCCAAGTATGCGCGCGCGTACATATGGGTCGTGAGACCGAGCCGTGTCTCTTTACCCCAACCATCGCGTTGAGCGGAGGCACGATGGTC